TCCGGCTGAGTCTCTAAGCGTCTTTGTGCGGGGCAGATCCAGGAAGGTCCGGGCGCTGCCTGTGAGGTCCTGCTGAGGCTCAGCCTCTCCCTGGTGGTGCTCGTCATACTGCTAAATCAGGTCCATACGCCTCAATGTCCACCCGTGCCAAATATGCACATTCCCTTTATGCTTTCACTAAGCATTAAAAGGGATTTTTTGCTGGAAACTACGCACCAGCCTCCATTGCTGCCTCCCCACAGGGGGATTGCAGGCTGCTACAGACACGGAAATACTCCCTGAAATGCATCTTTCCTCTTCTGACCCTTCCTGGAGCATGTCCCAGACAATCAGCCTGGGAGGGAAAAAGGATGCTCGCAGCACTACAGGATGTTATCCCTCCCACAACAAAAAATAGCGAACACTGAGCTGGGGCAAGAGAGAAATGACCTGATCCTGACCCACCAGCTGCCTGGGCAGCGAGGGCAGGATGGGGGACCAGAGCTGCTGGGGAGAACTACAATTCCCAGAAGGCAGAGCAAGCCGGGGACCCTTCCAGCTTCCCACCAATATAGCGGTGCAGAAGAAAAGCATATCAGGGAGAAATTCCCCTCCTCTCCCTCCCTGAGCTCCAGCGAACGCCTTGGTGGTGGCGTGAAAATCCGTCCGGGTGGCGCGAGCGGAGAGCATCGCCCCTGTCCTCCCCCTCCTCCTTCAACCTTTGCTCTTTGTCTTGGTTTCGCTTCACCCTTCCTCCGGTAGCTCTCACCACACTGGCCACAGACTTCCTTTAGGTCAAACCAGCTGCGGCTGCAACACAACTTGCAGCCAAGTCGCAGACACCGTTGTGCCACTGAGACTGCCCCAGAGGAGAGAAATGCCGGCCAGAGGGTGATGGCCCGCTCAGGTAAGGTGCTTTCAGCCAACCGCCCTTCGTTTGTCCGGGTAGCCCGAATAAAAGATGAAGCAGCTCCCTGGGATCTGGTTCTGCCCCTGATTCAAACCCTGAGCCCGAGGGGTCGCAGCGCTGGAAGTAAAGGCAGGATTTGGATCAGTAGGATCTGGATACTGGGGGGGAAAAAATAAAAAGGGAGAAAGTAGGCAGGAATTTCTTCATTTACTCTGATTTGAATTCAGGGATTTGTTGCTTTTTGCAAAAACCCAGAGGCGACTGGAACACTGCTGCCAGTGATTTGTTTCCCCTAAGCGACCGGCGGCGAGCATCCATGGTGATGAGAGAGGCCATGGGCACGGCAGCGAGCCTGGCGCCCGCTCCACCAGTGACTACGGCCAAGCACGTCCCTGCAGCATCATCCAGACCCGTCAGGGGGGTCACAGAATCACAGAATCACAGAATAGTAGGGGTTGGAAGGGACCTCTGTGGGTCATCTAGTCCAACCCGCCTGCCGAAGCAGGGTCACCTACAGCAGGCTCCACAGGACCTTGTCCAGGCGGGCCTTGAATATCTGCAGAGAAGGAGACTCCACAACCTCCCTGGGCAGCCTGTTCCAGTGCTCCGTCACCCTCAGAGGGAAGAAGTTCTTCCTCATGTTCAGACAGAACTTCCTGTGCCTCAGTTTGTGTCCTTGGTGATGGGAGGCTAAACCGGCTACGCACTCAGGGGGTTAGTGACCTTCCTCAGTAAAAATACACTACTGGGCTTTGCTGAGTCCTCTTTCCAGCCTGGCTGCTGCTGAGGCTTTGTCTGCTGAGTTAAAACCTGTTGTAGGTGTCACATAGGGCTTCTGCACCTAGGGAGGGGGCCTGGCCCCCCTCGGAGTCTCCTCTCCACTAGCAAACACTAAACCCAGTATGTGCTCCAAGTGGGTATGTTTTCTCTCCTGGCTCAGTATAACTTTGCAGGTAGTTGTTATGGGTTTTATTTTTCTTGTTGTTTTTGTTTTCCTGTGGTTACTCTGTACAAGCATGGAGAATTCAGCTTGGCCAGAAGCACCGTTGGGCTTCGGTGGTAGCTCTTACCAGCATCGGTGGGGATCCAGATGGGTTAGCTGAAGGGGAATCATGAGTGGCACAACTAAATCTGAAGCAACTTTCCCCTTTATAACTCTCCCCTGAAATCTGAAATGGCTGCCCACTTTATTTGCCACTCTGGCCTCTCTCCTCTGAGGAGCGTGTGCTGCAAAATCCCCACCGCAGTTGTGCTTGGTTGTTTGTACTCCACATCTCCCATTGCTTGTCCCCTGATCCACGGTGTTCTCCCACTCCCCGGTCCCCTACACCTCAGTGACAGCCTCCCCAGGGACTCATCTTCTCAGCCACAGCCTTCCCAGCGACCCGGACCTCCAGGGACAGATTTCACCGACAGCCCGCGTCCTTGCTGGTTGCCTGCCCAGGTACTGCTGATTTTGGCAGCAGCACCTTCAGCCATCAGTACCATCAGCAAAAGCCTGCCCAGCCACTCATACTCTTGTTGACAGTCATCTCCAGCACCGCTGCCTTCCTCCCCTCGATCTTTCTGGCCGTTTTGCCTGCTGCAATTCACAGTCCTGACAGGAGACGTTGCTCACATCTCTGTTGGCCCTGATTATTTTTTCTTTCTGATGGACACACATAGGACCCTGCTGTCAGTTGAACCCTCTTGAGGAAGACGAAGTCACTTTAGGTTTCCATGTCTCACCTCTTCGGCTGCACACTGAGGACACCACTGATGTGTCTTCCCCCCGGCATGGTGGTCTGCCAGTCCGAAGTAGCACATTCCCGGTTTGCAGATGCTGCCCAGTTTGTTTTAATTCTAGGTTTGTGGGATTTTGATTGCTGCACAGTCAGTCCTCAAAAATGGGACTAATTACAACAACTACTTCAAAGTGCATTAATTAATTAACAGAATTACTTAGAAATCTTCTTGGTCAAAGGACAGAGGACTATGCTGAGAGTAAATCACTGGTGCTGTAGCAGTAGAGCTGAAACCTCAGTGTCATTGCAGCAGCGAGTGCGTCACGGATGCCCCGTCGCCAGGGGAAATTAGCCTGTTCCTGCTCTCTCTGCTGGAGTCCAGCTGAGCCTGTGGCTTCAAAGCTCTCAGGTTCAGTCTCCCATGGAGCAGCCAAGGTGCCACCCGTTGTGTTTACATAGCGAACACAGGAGGTGGAGAAGAAATAATGATTTAATAATTTTCCCTTTACTTTTTCAGGCCGGCAACCTGAATCTCCAGGAATGACAGGGAAGCCTCTCTAGGAGACCAAAGGAGGCAGGAGATGGAGTTACAGACATGGCATCTGCAAGCTGAGGTGGAAGAAGGCTGAGAAATGAGGAAGACCACACACTCCTTGTTGGCCTGGCGTACAGCAGGAGCACCCTTTCCCTCAGGAGGAATAAAGTACTTCCATTAAAGTACACTTTGATGTGTGTATCCCAATGGTTTCTGTATCCTTCTCGTAGCACCCTGGCTTTTTCGTACCTGCTGGCTGTTTGGCAGCCCCACCACGCACCGCTGGGCGCAGGGCACTGCTGCCATGAAGGACGTGATGAAGCACGTGGTGCTAAAGACCCACCCGTGCCAGGAGTGCGGCAAATCCTTCAGCAAGAACGGAACCCTGAGGAGACATCAGCGGATACACATGGCGGAGGAGCTCTTCACTTGCGGGGAGTGCAGGAGGTGCTTCACCACCCGGGGCCACCTCGCGACCCACCAGAGCATCCACACAGGAGAGAGGCCCTTCTCCTGTGGGGAGTGTGGGCGCTGCTTCCGCCTGGAGATGTGCCTGGCCTCCCACCAGAAGACACACGCCAAGGGTGGTCCCTACCTCTGCACCCGCTGCGGCAAGAGCCTGAGCACAAAGATCTACTTCAATATCCACATGCGGACACACACGGAGAAGAGGCCGTTTGCCTGCACCGAGTGTGGGAAGAGCTTTGTGAAGAAGGGGACCCTCACTGCCCACAGGGAGATCCACAAGCGGGAGAAGCCCTTCAAATGTCCCCACTGCAGTAGGTGCTTTGCGCAAAGTGTCACACTGCTGGCCCACCAGAAGATACATCTCCGCGGAGGGCCTTTCATTTGTTCAGAGTGTGGGAAGAGCTTGAGCACCAAGCGGTATTTCAATGTCCACCAGAGGAACCATGCTAAGCAAAAGCCACTTGACGGACACATCAATGATGTGTCTCTCCAGGTCATCCAGATTAAAGAGGAGCCTGATTTTGCTTTCAGATCAGAGGATAAGATGTTGGAGAGTATGTCCCGTGAAGGAGATGTAGCCCAGGGGTGTAGCATACCTAGAAAACCATCTAATCCAAAAAGCCCTCCTTTGAAAATCCAGATGAAGGAGGAACCAGAACAATCAACTGTCGACAAAGCAAATGTTACTGCAACAGCCTGCCAGAAACTTCACATGAAGGAAGAGCCACCAGAAAACCCAGACTATGGAAAGCTCTTTGATCCAAACATCCCACTGATGGCTTTACAGGGGAGACGGCTTAAAAAGGAAGAAGATGCTGGTGGGCAGCATGAATGGGAAGTCCCTATAGCCAGTAATAGGGTGCTCCATGTGAAGGAAGAACCACAGGAAAGCACTGAATTTTGGATGCATTATGGACAGAAGCGAAACCTCAGTGCTATCCAGAGGAGCCAAATTAAAGAGGAACCTGGTGGGGAGGCCAACCACCAGGAGAGCCAGAGCCCAAACAGGAAGCAGAAGAACTGCTATCAGCCCACCAAAGAGGGGATGCTGGAGAACCAGGAAAGATCCATGTCCAAGAAAGATCCCTCAGCAAAAGGAACTCCCAAGGGTGAACGGATATTTCCCTGTCCCGAGTGCGGGAAGAGTTTCAATCAGAAATCAAACCTGACCAGACACAGGAAGATCCACACAAGTGAGGGTCCATACAAGTGCAGTGAGTGCGGGGAGAGCTTCCGCATGAATCGCAAGCTGATCCGCCACCAGCGAGTCCACATGAGCGAGCCCTTCAAATGCACCGAGTGCGGGAAGAGCTTCACCCAGCGGTCGAATCTGGTTCGGCACCAGAGGATCCACACCAAGGAGGAGCCCTACCAGTGCCCTGAGTGTGAGAAGACCTTCAACCAGAAGGCCAACCTCTTCCGGCACCAAACAATCCACCTCCGCATGGGGCCTTGCAAGTGCACCAAGTGTGGAAAATGCTTCCCTCAGAAGCGCCATCTTATTAAACACCAGTTGCTCCATTCCCGAGGTGGGGCCTATAAGTGTGGGGTCTGTGGGAAGCGATATCGGCTGAAGAAGTACCTGAGGAGGCACCAGAAAATCCATTCACGGGAAGGAACTTCTTCCAGCGCAAAATGAGGGGAGGCCACAAGGGCCCGCGCTGGACACTACCACACTGAGCAGACACTCTGGCCCCCATGAAGCATGAAGAGGAGAGCTGAGCATGTCTGGTGCCCGTTCTTGGGGAAAAGTCCTTTGGGAAAGGGGTGGGATGGAGACAAACTCTGCCAGCCTTATGTGTGCAAAGTCCTGGGGTGGGGAGGTCAACCTGAGGGGACCGTGAGGTTGAGAGGGCCGAGCACTGCTGGAAACCAGTCCTCTCCTGCTATTTTAGCATCGAATTATACATCTCTGATGAGCAGGTGGCTTGACCACCACAAGTCTCAGAGGCATCAGTGACTTCACCAGCTTCAGCCGATGCCGGTGCTAGTTCTCAGTCACCTGCTTCCCTACCAGTTACTGTGAAGCTCTTGGTAGGATATTGACTTTATTGGGCATGATTTAGGGAATTCGAACCAAGGGGCAGGAATAGTTGAAACAATCTTTAGACTTCACAGACCAGAGAACTGGAAACTATTTCCCTGTTGGGATGTTTTCCCTTCCTCTCCCTGGTGTAAAGGAGATTGTGCAGCTATTCAGAAGCATGGGCAGTTCAGCAGTCTTTATTGCTCACTGCTGATGATTTTGTTTGAATGTTCCCTAGTCTGATGGATCTTTGTGTCTTGAAAGTCCCTGGTGAAGTGGAGATGTGGAGGGAGTACACAATCCCCAGAGCCACTCCTGAAGATTTCTCTGCAGCACTGCTACGTGACCACCTGGGCACTGCAGAGCAAAGGTTCATTGTGTTGCTGTAATATGTAGAGTCCAAGAGGCAAGTGGAAAAACATTCCATGTTGACATTATAGCTCTACCTCTCTGGTTTTGTGTAGGAAAAGGTACCCTTCCCAACCCACAAGGAACAAACTTTCTTCTCCCAGGATGCGGGTAGCATCCTCTCTGAGGCATCTGAAAGTCATGCGGCATGACTTTGGGCAACTACCTGCTATGATGCTCCAAATCCAGGCTGCTGGTTGTCTGCACTGCCTGCTCTGGAGCAGCTGCTCTCCAGACAGGGAAACTGAGGCATGGTGGGAAGGCAGAGAACAGGGAAAATTGTACTTCAGCTTTGCCTTCATTGGCTACTTGGACACCATTGGGTTGAGGTGTTTTGTTGTGATGACTCAAGCCCAACACTGAGTACAACTGCCAAACCCCAAAAGCACAGAGTGATTTTGGATTTCAGACTCCCTCAGCGTTTGGTATAGCCAGGCCCAGGATGTGATTTCAGACAACAGAGCAAGCTCTGACAGCATCTGAAGGATCCTGTCTCTGTCCCCATATATCCACACCCTCATGTATAACCCATCGACAAATGAGTTGATATGAAGCTTTCCCTCAAATCCCTCTGACCTCATGGAGAAGAAAAGGCAGATATATAGGGGAAAACCACAAGTTTCACATGTTCTGGGGAAGTCTAAGGGACAACCCTTTTAGAAAATTGAGTCTGGGCCATATGGTGGGTAGATGGTTCACTGTAGGACTGGGAAACTGTTCCTTGGGAAGAATATGGCTGAGTCAAACTAGCGAAACAGTCTCTGTTAGGCTTGCTGAGGGGCAGAGGTAGCGCAGAGCCCTTCAGCGGGGGGAAAGTAATCACCAGACGGCTGGCATTCATTTCCTTTTCTTTAGCCTAGCGTAGGGCTAGAGATTTTTACCTGGAAGAGGAACTGGTGTGAGGGGTTTGCCAACTGTATCACTGTGCACGTGGAGAGGGCAGTGAGTCAATGTCTGTAGCTTTCCTGGGTATTCCACTGTTGACCATGGCCAGCACAGGTGGCCCAGCTTCTGGGGAAAATCGGGGCTGATAGTTTGTAATATCTCCTCAATAAAGTAACTATTTAAAGAAAAAAGGAAATAAAGTGAGCCTCTTTTCTGGTTGTTTTCTTTTTCATAAGCTATCAATGAGAGAACCACTCTGCATTCTACCCACAGCGCAGCAAGTGAACAATGCCAGAGCAAGATGCATACCAGTGGTAACCAAATACATGTTCTTGGTGAAGAGCCCTCCAGGCTCTGCTGACTGTGTTGACCAGCTCTCCACCAGCTATGCTGAGAGCTCAGACCTCCACATGTTGACCCCAGGGCTCCAGTCAGTGACCCATGCACAGGTCCCTTGGGAAGTATCCTAAGGTGTCTGCATAGGGTGAGAAGGACACAGGCCTTATGGGAGGCCTTGACCTTTCTGGATGAGCAACTGGAGGCCAGGAAGAGCATCTCAAATTTCACCAGACACCATGGTGTGAGAAACTGAAATGATGCACTAAGTACGGGTGTTTTCATCTGTGAGCTAAACTCCACCCTGAGTGTCCCACCTGTAGCTGTCCAAGTGTAAAGGGAGTCTTCCAAGTGCTTGGGTACCAATAAGATCTGCCTGGGACATTGCACTACAAGTTTTTCCAGGACACCTCCAAAGATGCCTTACAGATAATTTGGGCTGCCAGCTCTGGTGTCTTCTGCGGACAGTTGTGCTGGGTTTGGATAAGGACCATGGAATAATCCCAGCTCCATGAGAAAAAAACAGATTTATCTGGGAATTGAACAAAGTCAAATCCTCACCCCCCCAGTAGCAAAACAGCCTTCATCTTTTTCTCCCTAAACCCATTACAAGGGCTCCCTGGTAATAATACAATGCTTAAAATCCAAATCGTTTCCCCACTCTGCACTACACAGATTTTATGCAGAAAACCACAGCTGTAAGCGTTCGCTGAGCAGTTTCAGTCACCAAATGAAAAGGATGCCCACAAGGTCTGATTTTGCCTGCAGGTCTATTCAGTAAATTCAGCATGGTCAAGCTGAAACCAATGGAGTTAGATCAAAGTAAAATTTATGTTAACGAAGTGAGATCCAAGCTCTGATGATATCTGCTGGTCCTGCACAGTGGGTCAGGTAGGGCTTGTCTTGGGACCACTGCTGTGCTGTCTGTAGCTATGCACATTGTTTCTGTGGTTTTCAGGAGGAATTTGGCTGTGGGATCATTTTTTTGATCACCTCGTTGACTCGTTGACTGTCTGTGTGTATCATCTCAGCATCTGTTCTGCCTCCAGCATTCAGCACAGCCTGCCTGGATGGGAGATGGAGACAGGCTGTGTTGCGTGACAGTGTATATTTCATGCTTCGATGGGACGTGTGGAGCTGATTGGTGCTCAGCAAGTTCTGGTATGGTGGGAACCAGAGGCTCTTCGAGGCCAGAGCAAATATCTGCTCGGACATAAGTGCCCTGGGATGTTTACTTACCATTTGGGAACATGATGGTTCCCATGAGAACTTCTTTGAGAATCCCAGGCTGCATGGAGCACGGTGTCACCACAGATGGGGAGTGAGGAGAGGAAAAAGACCAGGGTGAAAACTGGGTGAGCAACAGAACACTCTGTATTACATACTTCTACGCACACTTTATCTGTTCATTTTCGACTAAGAGCCTTCATGGGGAATGAGTATTTACTTACCACCACCTTAGCTACCTCTCATCCCATCCAGGGCCAAAGTGACACAGCTAGGTAGCACCACATGGGACCAGGCTATCAAGCTGAACCACCTGTAGCCAAGGAACCCTTGGAGCCACTGCCGCCACCTCCTGACCCAAAGCACAATCCCTCCCTTGAAAATGATTTCTTGTGCTGGAATAAAGCAAAGGTGAGAGATCTCCATCAAAGGATTGAAGTTTCTGACTAGTCCCCACCTGAAGATTTTCTGAATAACGTCATAGAAACATCTGTGCTCTCCTTTTCTAGTGTCAGTGTTAGCCTGCAAACAAGAGCAGCCCCTGGGATGGGGTGGGTGAGGTGGGCAGTGCTGGGCTGTGGCTCTCTGCTAATTGCACAGGAGGTGATTACAGCCCATTGCTATCCTTTGTAATAGGACTGATGCCCCACGGGGGACATTGCAGAGCCCCACTGCTCACTCTTTTTTTCCATCCCAAGCTGATTTCTGTCTCTTCTGCTGCTGTCTGGCCTCTTCCCTGAGGAGCTGCAGTTTCAAAGACACCAACCTCCTCCAAGTGCAGGCAGAAGTAGGAAGCAGACACCTGGAGATCCTTCCCTACCAAGTCACAAGATTTTCTTCTTTTTCATCATCTGAAAAATAGGATAATGTGCTTTGCAAGTGGAATAGGTTACAGACTGTTCTCATTTTTCCATGTGTGTTGGCCTCTGGGGAACAAAACAGGCTGAACAGTGAGGGTCTGAATGTAGAGGACAGCTTCTACTAGGAGAGTAATGGGGTTTTGAAGTCATGCGAGAGTAAGCCATCACTGTACCTGTGCTGAAGTTCGCTTGCCCTTAGACACGTCTGCAGAGCAGAAAGCCAGTCGCTGCGGGAGAGCTGCAAACAGCACTGATGGGAGCTCACTCTGGGGAGAAAGGACTCAAGAGAGGAAACTCATGACCTTGCAAACTACAGGCTAAGCTGCCCAGATGACCTGCAGTGCATCATGTGTAGTCAAGGGCACACGCTCATTCAGCCAGTATGGCAGGGCCCAAAACGTCCCCGTCAGAGTGGACAGGCAAAGAAGCAGAAAAAACCTTGTGACAAAGAACGCGTTGCTTCAGTTGAATTCACTTGCAATAACTTTAACAAGTCTGGGGCAGGCTGAAGAGCAGGGAGAGGAGGGGGGAATGTGAAGTATGGAAGAGGTGATGGTGAAGCCTCTGAGCAGATGGCAAAAATGAGTTGTGCATCAGATCTAACAACATGGAGAGACAGAGCCTGGGAAACGCCATGAAAACCTGGTGGGGAGGTGTTAGAGCCAGATCAAATTCTCCTTACAGCTGTGCCTGTTGGTATTAATTTATTATAAGTGACTTCAGGCTATATTAAAGCCCCTCGTAGGGTGTTACAGCTGATGACTCCATTTGATGCTCATAGCAGGGTGAGGGAGGAATGAGCTTGTGGGTGTTCCTGTGCCTTCCTGGGTTCTGGTTCCTCTCTTCAAAGCATCGCCTGCTATTGTTTTCCCAGGCTGAACATCAGGGTCCTGAGGG